CACAGACAAACCCGTAACAATATGCGTTTTGTACTGCTGTTACACAGCACAAAACGCATAAAAACATGAAACGGGATAAGAAAACCATTAATGGAAATTAAGCAAGCAAATGTTTAAACTACAGTCTCGATGATGACCGCACAACCTGTACAAGGTAATCTCCAAAGCACTATGGTGCATTTCTGTTTTCGTTAATAAGCGATCTTCATTCATTTTGAAGTAAAAAATATAACTAATAGCCAAAAAACACTGAAATTTCTCTACAGGCCGCGAGAATAACAAGATATAAAAAAAAATATACTGGAAGAGTATCAGTGGAAGATCAATTTCTATTTTATTCTTGTCATTTTATTATCACCCTTTTCATTATTTCCATTATTGTTATCACCATCACTATCATTACATAATTATTACATCACTGTTGTTACCAGTACTGTAATTACTGCGACTGCTACTATCCTGTTACTGTCATCTCACATTTTACAGCAGTTACCAAAACTTAGCACAGCTCGGTTCGGCTCGGCCGCACAATATGCACTTATTTCGGATTCGAACTGTGGAAATCGTGGTATCGGGCTTTTTCTAGGCAAATTTCTTGGTGTCACATTCAAGATTGTCAACCTCCCCTCACAATTAAAATTCAGGTTAAGCATGAAAAATCTACTGAGGCATTTTTTCCTACAAACTCGCACCTGTTTTCAATTCCCACCTCCAAGAAGGGTCTAAGCTTCTTTTATAGCCAATAACCTCACCCTTTTCTTCTGCTAAGAACCTCAAAACCTACACTATCGCTCCCGACTTTCCTCTCCTCGTCCCTAGTCATCTACATCCGCCAGTCCCTCTTCGTCTCCCTCCCCAATCATTGCAAATCGTTGTCAAGCGAAGCCGAGTTTTAGCAGCTGCCTGTTTTACACTGTATTATGTTGCCTTTTTTAGTTCAGCATACCAAACGCTCAGTTTATCTTTTTAGTTTAGTACATCATTCATTTTTATTGTCCTCTAAAATATTACTTTTGTCCATAAGATTTCGAATCAGCTGCTCTCAACTTACCGAAAGAATTGATGCAATCCGCAAGAATAGCGCCTAGTTGTTTACAGACGGCAATCTGTGCATGTTCGCCCAGAATGGTACCAACTGTGCCTCGCAAAATGTACCCAACACATCGTCGCATATAGACCACCTCATCCGCTTGATTTACATTACTGAAAGAGCATCAAAGTTATCATGAAAATCTGCCAAATGCATTTATAGTGGCGTGCACTGCGATGAAATGACAGATGAGCAAAGCGTCTGATTAGAAAGATCTCTGCCAGCGAATTTGCAAAGGAGAATAACCTCAGCCCAGAAATGCTGATCTGCTACTTTCCGAAATGCTAAGTGGTTCACGCGGTCAGTACCACACCAGGCTTATCCCGAACAAAACAGAACTTATGCATCTTCTAATACTGTAAAAAACCCACTTCGTATAAGCTAATGGTCCAGCTTTCGTCGTCAGCTCCATCAGATGCTTCGTAACAAAAACGTGGTTTTTTTCCAGCCATAATGGACCAAGTTCTCGAATCAATGTAACGTATGCCTTGAAAATGCAAATGTAAATGAGCAGAATGCTTTGCCAGCTGAAGCATCAAGCAAGTTGAAAAAGTACCAGTGCAACTCCGATACGCGTCTCCTTTTGCCCTCCGGTCACTGCAACAGTTCCCGTTTTCAAGAAGCCACCAATACCACCCCTCAGGAAGCCATGCGATAGAATTCCAAAGCATTCTTCCACTGACATAACTTTCGACTGCGTTTTACTATTTGTTGCTGCAAATTGCCTCATCAGATTGTTGTAAGTAAATTTATCGAAGCAAAATCACATCTTCACAGTTATGCCGCATCACTGTTCGCCTCTTCCAGCCGATAAGGCCCGACGGGATTGTCGGGCGAAAAATGAAATCCCATTCGCTGTTGAGAGCAGCAGCACAGAAGCTTTCTGAATGGTCGCGACGGCCAAGTGAAAATTACGAGTGGAAACCGCTAAATATGATGCGGACAAATTGAGCACTGCGTAGTACTGCTCCTCAAAAGCATGAACTAAAAGAGACTGGGAGGAAAGTAAGTTTACCAGGAAGGCGTGATTTTGGCGGATCCATAGCAGCACAGAACAAAACCGCGAAAAGTCGCGCTACCGCAAGTCGTACTTCATAGTTGCTGGATTCAAGCGCTTTGAAGCACAGCGTACTGATGCTTTCCACTTCATTTGTGTATAAGAATACATATTCCGGTACCAGTACAGTGAGGCACTACAATTATACACTGTGCGTGGAGATTTTTACTTCCCACGATAATTTCATGGATTTTGTAGAGACCAGGTAATAAAGTACATTAAAAAACACAGTTCAGCGTTTAATATTTCCTTACTGCGTGCAAAGTGAGGACGAAACCAAAATGCTGAGGATGAAACCCAAACAGTTAAAAATTTCATGCACCGGCGCATGAAAGCCGAATTCGGCACCTTGAAGGGTGAATATCTTTCCGTGATTCCCCAGTTAATAGTTTACCCGCCAAAATTTTCACGAGGCCGTAGGTGATACGCAAGAGCGCGCGATGAAAGGATGAAACCCAAAGTGCTCAGAATACGGTTATTTAATTCAATGGCTACAAAAATTTGTGAGTTGCAACATTACCTGCGCAAGAAATTCATGATCGAGCCTCTCAAATAAAAATTTATTGCGGAGTACTTCACCACAAAAATCCGTCACGAGACGACAGCATCATTCGTAGGTCGTGAGTACGCAGATGTATTTG